GTGTTCTCTTTTTATTTATTTTTATATATATTTTTTGAAGTCCTTTTTAAAATAAAACATTTTCATTTTATTCAGAGAGTTTTACTCCAGTTTGTCTTGAAAAAAAGAGGTTGTCTGATAACCAGGGTTGTATTGTATTTATACAGAACCATCATGGAATAAGGAATTTCTTACAACAAAAATGTGATAGAAATGTATTGTTTTGGTCTCTTAAGTTTACAGTTTTAAAGAAGATTTAAAGCAGCAGAAATAGCTCTGCACATTGATGAGAGCAAAGCTTCGAACTATTAAGAAAGGGAGAGAGAGAGAGAGAACAGCTGGAGGTTTGTGAAACCTGCCATGGACAATAGTTTGAGCCTTTAGCTGTGTGTGTGTGTGTGTGTGTGTGTGTGTGTGTGTGTGTGTGTGTGTGTGTGTGTGTGTGTGTGTGTGTGTGCGTGTGTGTGTGTGTGAGAGAGAGAGGGAGAGGGAGAGGGAGAGAGAGAGAGAAAAAGGGAGAGTGTATGTAAATGTGTGTTTGATGCCACCAGCATTTTTCTAATCCAAAGGGACACAACTTGGCACCCACTGAAACCTCCTCTCACTGTGACAGTTTCAGCTCACTGACTCACTCACTCTATGTGTGTGTGTGTGTGTGTGTGTGTGTGTGTGTGTGTGTGTGTCTGTGTGTTATTGGGTCCATAATGACCCCCCCCCCCCAAGCTTTTCTATTATCTCTACTGTGTTTGAGGGATTCAACATGAGCACTCCAGCAGCCCACTGTGCTTATCACACACACACACACACACACACACACACACACACACACACACACACACACAAAGCAAAGCAAAGCAAAGCAAAGACGACCCTTGGGACCTTCTTTGTTAAGTCACCCTTCTCTCTGCTCACCCTCTTGACATCTGCTCTCAGCCTCCTCTTCTTCACTCCTCCTTTCTCTTCCTCCTTATGCCCTTCCTTCCCCTCTCTCTCTTTCTTATTCTGTTTTCAGTCTTTTGGAGAGTGGTGGAGGTCAGGGCAGGTCACAGTTGTCTGTCCTGGCCCTCTTCCACCTGCTCCCCTCTTCCTTCTCTGATCCTGCACAGGAAGCTGGTAGAGCCGGATGAGGACCTGAGGGAGGACAGAGAGGAGCAGCTGCTGCAGGAATAAAACACACACAACCAATGAAGAGTTGAGAGAGAAAGAGAGGGAGAGAGAGAGAGAGAGAGAGAGAGAGAGAGAGAGAGAGAGAGAGAGAGAGAGAGGAACTGATTCACCTTATGAGTCTGTGCTGTTTTTCCTAAGTTGAACTGATAGTCTGTGAGGGTACATTCACTCAGGGCTGACAGTGGTTACTTCTCTAATCACCTAAACAAACTCCTCCTCTGAGTTCAATGGAGGCTGCAGACAGTTAGGTGCCTCACTCACCTGCTGCAGCATCACACAGTGTCCTGAATAACCAGGCTTGCTCCCAGCAGTCCAGGATTTTAGCACCACTAAAAGACAATAACTTATGTAACCTTTATGTGCAGTATTACCAGGCTAGATATTTATTACAATTGAAAATGCCATTTTTTTTCCTCAGGTATGATAACTCAAATAATGTGCAATGACATATCCAATTCTTCTCTGTGCACTTGGTGCATGATGAGTGTATTTATTCTTCATTGTTTGCTCTTCTGATCCTTTGCTGCTGTAAACACAACAAATTTCCTCACTAAGGGGTGAATAAAGGTTCATCTTATTTTCTATATTATCTGAAGTCCAGGGGCCTCATGTATCAACACTTGCGTGGAACTCATACCAGAAACGAGCGCACGCAAGGTCCGTCACGCTGAAAAAAATCCGTATGTATCAATGTGTGCGGGCGCCGAAATCCACGTGTGTTTCCTTGATAAATCCCAATCAGCGTGGAATTGAGCGCAGATGTCGGAGTGACTGGGCCCGTCCCCGTTACGCCCTCCTATAAATATGCAGATTTATTTAAATAGGGTCTCCCTGTCCTCGCACGCAGACAAAATGACAAGAAAAACTACATTTACGGCGTGCGAGGTGGAGGTGCTGGTGGCGGAGGTGGAGGAGCGACAGCGTGTTTTGTTTGGCAGCCTGTCCAGTGGCGTCAGTGCAAAACAAAAACGATGGAGTGGGAGAAAGTTTGCGAGAGGGTGAATGCGGTGGGTTCCGAGACACGCACCCCCGCGGAGATTAAAAAAAAGTGGTCGGACCTCAAGGTGGAGGTCAAGCGGCGTACAGCTGCCCTCCGGAGGAGTACCGGCCAGACAGGTGGGGGTCCGGGGGAGGAGACCCTCACACCGTTTGAGCAGCGGGTGGTGGCGATTATTATTATAGGGTAAGTGGCGTGTCACACAAATGTCCACATGCTTTGTCATCCCACTGAGCAAAAGACGTATATTAGACGTCTAGTCTAAGTTTATACTTCATTTCAACGTCGGGATTCAGTCTATTTTTAGACGTGATTTATACTTCGCCCTTAACTTCATTTTTCAATAACTTTTTATGCTATAAACAACTGTAATGTGCATAACTGACCTCGAAATACTGGATTACATTACCTATGATACTGTGGAGAGAGATGTAAACGCAACAGATACACAGAAGCAGGAATTGAAATGAACTAATATTTTTATTGTGTCACAGAAATTAATGTGTCGGCCGTGTCGCCGGCTTGCGGAACCCCGGCCCGCGGCAGCCCGTCCGCCGGCTCGGAGTCGTCGGCCAGGACCAGCGGCATTCGGGCCACCCCGGCCCCAGCACCAGCATCAGCACCAGCGCGCCGACAAGCGGTGGAGCGTCCACCAGCCGCGGCGCTTCCGCTGGACCACCCGGACGCAGTGGAAGGGTCCTCGCGGAGGGGGTCCTGCAATCGCAGGAAGAAATCATCAGGGGGATCGCGGGGATCAACGAGCGGCTGGACCGGCTCGTAAATTTCCTCGAGCGTCTGGTGGAGAAAATAAATTAATTTGGCTCATTGAACTGTGTATTCACTTCTTACCCATTCACACTGTGGCGATGAGATTCTCCCGCGCGAGGACGGCGGCCCGGCAGGGATCAGCTCGCATCCCTCCGTCTGCTGCTGGTTCGTCATGTGGGGCGACGTGCTGCCCGGCCACGGGGATGTGGTGCACGCTTGTCACATAGTGAGTCACCAAACACCGCCACACAGCGTCGCCAAAGTGCGAATCACAGTCAACGCAAATATCCAGCTCAACGCCAATTTCTACACCACCTCCTGACTTTGCGTTGATTAGCGCTGGAACCGACGCTCGTTTCGCGATGATAAATCTGGACGTGTGCGCCGATTTTGGCGTACGCAAGGTTTTCTCGCGCCGCAAGCGTTGATACATGAGGCCCCTGGTCACACTATCATCACTGATGACAGGAAAAAGACGGCATGTTCTACAAAGTACAAATTTCAGATATTTTTATGTTCTTGGGTCTTCTCTTATCCTCCCTCTCTGCATACCTCAGCACACCTGGACTCCAACACACTGATTTAAATGCACTTCATCCTTTTAGGGATTTAATTGGCTATTACAAACTAGTCAGTTTATTATGATATCCTCTTTGTATCATGTGCTGTAGAACTGTTTACACCAATTTTTGGTTATAACCTTTTCGGTACTAATATCAGAACAGAAAACACTGCATCAAAAAAGTAGGTATGGTACACTGTAAAAAAAGATACACCATAACTACTCAATAAAATTGAGGCAACAGATTGCACGCATTATTATTAAGTAAATTTCACTATGTCAAAAGTTGAGTAAATTCAACTTTAAATCAGATTCTTAAGAATTACCTACACTGAAAAAAAATTGTGGAGTGATGTTTACTTAAAAAATGCTAGGCAAGTTTTTCCACGCGGAATTTATGAGTACATTCTACAAGAGTGATTGTTAAGTAAAATTTACTTAAGAATACAAGTTATTTCTGCAAAAATTACTCTGGTAACCTTCACTGAGAAATGTCAATATTGTCATTGAATTTTACACTGTTCTTATTAGTAAGCCCTACCTCGACAGAGTTTGCATCAAATTGGAAATCTCACGTTAAAACTAATGAATTTTCAGGGTTACTGTAATTTTTCGTGTGAATATTCAAGTAATATTTACACAACATCTTACATAATTTATACAAAAGAAGTAAAATCAAATGAAACGTTCTTTTCAACACCACCAGCTTAATTTATTTTTTTGTTAAACATGGTCAGGGTTAACGTTTGGACAACATCCAACAATTGGATTTTTATAAAGAATCACCCAGCTTTTTAAGACAAAATCTCTGCGTGTGTGTGTGTGTGAGTGTGTGTGTGTGTGTGTGTGTGTGTGTGTGTGTGTGTGTGTGTGTGTGTTAAGACAGTAACATGTCATGGATTGCATCAGTCACTCTGCGGTGTTGGTTTCTCAGAAGTTTCTCAAAACACCTTTTAAGACTCAAAATTTAACAATGGCCCTACAGTGGTGTGAACATCTTCACACAGTATGAAAAATCAAACAACATACTTATCATGAACATTTGCAGGGATGGTTTCACCCTCGGAATAGAAGACAAGTTATTCCTCAGCTGTTACAAAAAAGTGCTCACACAACTTTTTGGGTGCACGTGGGCACCAAAAAAAACAATCAAAACAAACAAAAATAAGTATAGACATGAGAAAGGCTGATATGAGTCCCGCCTTTCAGACACTGTCCAACAAGGACAGGAGCTGAATTCACTCACGAAGCACTTTGCTGCACATCCCACATCCACTCATTCACACACACTGACCGGGGTGTGTGTTAGATTGCTATTTTGTTTCGTAATGTCTGGACCTTGTGGGAAACTTTCAGGCTGTCGAGTTCAAGGAAGACCTTCTGAAATACTTCAAATGTGTATTTCAATTTGGGTGGATAACTCAAATTGAGGGCATACATAATGCCCATCAGCAGGAGACATGCCTTTACAAGAATTCCGCATTGAAGTACCTCACTTCCTTCCAGTATGATGGATACGGAGGAGGAGGGGTCATCTCCGTCGCTAGTATGGACGACACAAATTTTCAGGACTTGCTCTGCCTGGTCCTCTTTAACAGCTTCTCTGGTGACATTCTGTGGAATAAATGTGAATTTATGTTAAGGTACATAGTAGTCTCACAATTCACTTAACACTCATTTATTAAAACCATATACATATCAACCAATTTACTGATTACATGAGCTAGTAAAAAATGAAGTATTGTATATACGTGAGTCACAGTGATGTGAAAAACATGGAATTTACATGATAGTCTTTGATGAGATCCCCCGAAGACTCCCCACAGAATTCAGTGAGACAGCAGATGATGGCCTCCCTTTGGCTGTCAATGTGTTGCTGTTGAGACAGACAGGAGAATTTGCAGGACCAACCATGAGAACACACAAATTACATGTTTTGTTGTAATTTTAATTTTTACCTGACTGATTGAATCCAGCAAAGGTCTTATTTGTGTGCCAGCAACCCATCTTTTTTTGGCAAACACTTCACGCAGTTTTGGTGTGTATGAATCGAGCTTCGTGAGAAAAGTTCTCTCCAGGTGAATTGTTGTTATTCGCCGGAACTCCTCCTTAATCTGAGGGGGGGAAAGTACAATTATGCTTGTTACTTATTCTTTTTTTAACAAACACAATTTCATAATTAGTATATTTCTATATATTTATTAATTAATAAATAATAATGGGTGAGTACATTGTCGTATTTCATGCTACAGATAATGTCAAAACTGCAAAAACAGCACTTCTCCTTTAAATACATGCTGCTGATTTCCCACACAGAAATTTGACTTACCTGAGCTTCTGAGAAAAGAGCTGGCCACCTCTCCCGGAAATCTGGAATGTCAGGGCACTGCTGTAAAACTTCTAGTCTTTGGCAGGGGAAAGACTTTTCCATTTTGTCAGCAATTATCCTGTCATTGTTTTTCTTCTGAATTTCTTGCTGCGTATCTAGTCTTTCCTTCTCTAAAGTGTCTGCAGGGCTCTCAAGTCTCACGCATTCAGCGTGAGACACACGCATTCCCACCTGTTCACACGCTCACACGCCACACATTGTATTTCTCACGCATTTAAATGAACATGGTGATGTCCACCAAGTTGCACCTCTTTAACTATGGAACAGGGGGAAATCAACGGAGTTTCTCCGAGAGTTCAGAAGCTGCGTGCCACGCGCAAGCCAATCAAATAAAGTATATCTACTGAACAGCCAATCAAAAAGCAGCATTGCTGTATCCGGATAGATTTTGATATCTTGCGGTTTGACTACAGAAGAAGACAGACACTCGCCGAAATAGAGCAGGTTTTTATAAGGACGAGAAAGACCCGATGATTACAGTAAGTCAGTAACCTACACATGCAGAGACCTCAACACCTCATGGCAGATAAACTCATATGATAAACTAAAGCCCTATGCTATTGCTATTAACAGCTGCATTGATGAATTTAGCCTCTGCGCAGCCATTTCCCCTCCACAAAAGCAGCATTTCTCATATATTCTTTTTAAAGTTCTGATACCCGTTACAGTGTAATGCTGATATACCAAAGGATTAAGTATCTCCATGTCTGTGAAACCTATACTAAAGTACAATTCATCTAAATGCTCCTCAGTGCTGATTTTAACAACTCTCCTCCACAACAGGTAACTTTACTACTTTATTCTTAAAGTCATTAATGACTTTATTCTCCTAAATAATAACTTTAATCTCAAAGATTTAAAAATGTTTTTTTCTTTCTTAATGTGGCCCTCATACTCCATTGTATTTATTAGATTATTATACTAATAATTATCTTCAATCACTCTTCGACCCCCCCCCCCCCCCCCCCCCCAAGGGAATCTCACTCTAAGCTTAGTTCAAAACTTGAGAGCCCTGTGTCTGTTTCCACCACTGGTAGTGGAGGTAGGTAGTTTACTTCTGCTTTCTTGGGTCTTTTGATGCCTTTGCTTGAAGCTTTTTCATTTGACCCTCTTCTTTTGAGTGTATTCACTTCCAGCTCTGGGCAGGCAATTGAACCAGATCTTAATTTTGCACAGTAATTCCCCATTTTGTACTTGAACCTCTGCTGCCACCCATAGAGGCCATTGAAAGACCCTGGTTCCTTCAGCCATGGAAACTTCTCGATTAATGCTTCGACCACAGTCAGTATTTGGAGCGAAGTGGGATATGCCGTATACCCAAATACAATGTCTGACAGCTTCTCTAGAATGCTGCTTGTTACCCTTGGATTTTGTAGCAGGGTGCCATCCTTTTGGAATGCTTGGTTTCCAGCCTCCAACAGAAGTTCAACATCAAAGGAAAAGGTTGGTATTTCAAATTTAGCTGGCCATTTCTGTGACCGGCGAGACAATCCACATTCGTCAGAGGAGGACAATAGAATGGTGTCTTGAGATCCTGATGAGTGAGCAGAGGAGCAACTTAAGGATTCTTCTGGTAGTGGGGGGTCAACCTGTGTTTCTTCCACGGATGTGACACTTAGCAGAATTGGCTGTGTTGGAACAACTTTCACTGTTGCCTTGTCTTCCAACTGTTCAATGCAGCTGAGAGTGAAAAACTGGCCATCAAAGTCTATGTCCTGATAAAGCAAAGAAAAATCTCCAGGGATATTAAAAGTCTGTCTGATTACACCAAAAAGATCCACGAGGGGAGAATGAGTTTGCGAATGTCACTATCATCAAAAACTACGTGGAGCTTTGCTGGGGTGACCATTGCGGCATAGAAGGCTGCGTAAGAAACACAAAAAACAATGAATCATCATAACACCAAAGCATCACAAATATACTCCTAGACTATCTGCTATAATAAGACAATAAATAATAATACATATCCGTGATTTCTACTATTATCACACTGGAATATTAAGCAAGCATCTCTCATTTGTGACTACTAAGGGAAGCAAATGTGGTGCTTCAAAGTAACCCATCGTCTTCCTGCCAGAGTGTATGCAGCCAAAGGATAAAAATCTGGAAGATCCTTCTGCTCAATTATTTGCTCATTGCTTGTATTCTCTAGCTCATAACTTCTGAGGTGCTCATTGTACCGTGCGTTTTTTGGCCTGTTGACAAAGACTGCTTTGTTTTTAACTAAGATTATCTGCAAAACCTCTGCAATATCAGGCAAGCCTGCAGTGGAACCACAGCACACCACCATCCCAACTGCATAGGTTGTCCCTGAACAGTTGACAGAATTTGTAATATGTACTGCAGTGATGCCTGGACATCTGCACTTCAGTGCTTCTTTGATGTTGTTGTTCATGACTTCCAATGAGACCTCTGTAGTTTTTGTGACTGAGAGTGAGGGTGTGAATGTATTTGATTTATGGAGATGGTTTGCAATCATGAGCTGGTGCTGATATTCTTTCTTGGATGTTCTTGTTGTTTAGAACCTGCAAAAGCGACTGCAATATTGGTACATACTGGAATGTTTTACCTTCTTTTTCATCAAGTATGTACTCTTTTGGTTAAACGACTGAGAAATGTTCCTTAAGAAACTGTCTTCTCTTGTAGGAAGTTGAAAAACTGCCACCTCTTGCAAAGGCTGAACTTACAGGGTGTTTTTTGCTGAGATTTTCAACCAAATCAGAGATTACAGATGAGTCCAAGTCACAGTTATGTGTTCTCAGGGTAGACTCGATCACTTCCTTTAAAACAGGGGCTGATGCATTATTTGATATGAATTGGAGCTCATCCACTATTTCATCAATGCATCTATTCGGCACATTAAAGGTGCTCTCTAATTTGAGAAAAAGGTGGCCAAACTTCTCCTTTATGTCTTGACAGAAATTCTCTTCTTTCTCAAAGGAGGGACCAGGATCCCCCTCAGACAAAGGGCCAGGATCCTCCCCATCAGCAACAAGCAATGGCTCATGCTGAGCCACAGCTGGATCTGGGTATTTTTTCAAGATCTCAGTTTTAAAGTCGTCAAGGCAGTGTGGTGAATGTTTTCTATGTCTGTGAGTAGCAAAGGTTGAATAGATGTTTGTACTGAAGCTGCAATTTTGGAATACGCATGCGACAACTTCAAATCTCCTCAAATGGCTTCCAAGATGTTCAAAATATTGACTCTCTGAATTAAAAAAAAACCTGAACTGCACAAGACACATTGAAAAGAAATAAGCTTGTTTGTTGTTACTACATCCGGGTGCTGCCTAGATAAATGTGTCTGTAGGGCACTGAACGTTTTGAAAGAACAGGGGCAATCTGTATCGAGGCAAGGCACTGTCTGGCCATGGCTACCCATCCCATGTTTTAGTCTGTAGTGTCTCAACAATTCTGTCCGTTTGTCAACTTTAAAGCCACATGTTTTACACGACCACATCTTTTTTGACGTACCTGAGGTAAAAGATATCAACCATTCAGATCAAGTGGCACCTTCCTCGAATAGGCTGTGAAATAAATGGGAATCTAATTAGCAATTTTACATGGCAATTTCTGCAAGTGGCAATATGACAAATGACAAAATTCAACAATCTAAAAATGCTGCTATTCTTTTCTGTACCAAAATTAGATATAATAAACCAATAATGGTAGTTTTGTTATGTACACAGTACACAGTAATACACAAATTCTTGTTTTGTTTTTTTACCTGCATCGCCAAAGATTTGGCCAAAGATTTGGCGATGGAATGGTGATAAGCTATTCACCGTATGAATGGGCCTTTAGTGGATGACCGGGTACTCAAACACTGTAGCTGCTTCAGCCTAAAGGACAAAACAGTAACTATTTGAAATCATGCATCATTTCACCAAACCCCACTCGACCCCCCCCATCCCCCACCCCGACGATCAGCGATCATTGCTCCGACGCACTCGCACCTCCTAACCTAAAATTTAACTATGATGTAGAAGTAATATTTACAGGACCAAAAAGTATTTTTATCAGTGTATTTAAGTTGAGTAGATTCAAATAAAGCACAAAAATGACTTAATCAAACTTAAACAAAAATATTAAGTAAATATCAATAAGCGGAATGTCTCAATTAGTAAAAAGTTCTTATATAAATTAATTAAATTCAATATATACAATACACATAATTGAGTTATACTTATCTTTTTATTTAGTGCATATTCAAGGCATTATTCACATTTCTTTCGTCTGTGACATTGAGTTTTATCAACTTTGACCTTGAAGAACAACAAAATCCCTTTGATATGTAGTAAGTTAGCATTTTTACTTGTAACTAATCATAACAGAAATTTCCCTTTCATTTCTGGTAACTAGCACTGACAAACTTAGCACTTTCAAATGTGCAAGTTTAAGCTCTGTGGAGGCTGAACATTGAGTCACACAGAATATCAAGTGCAAAAGAAGTTGCCAAAACAGTCAATGAAATGCTTTTAAGAAAATATTCAATTCAACACTGTGGCTTGAAAACATCATGCCTGAGGTATAGGAAACATCCTCTAGCAGTACCAGTGCAATAACATGCAAAAAAAAGTGCACTGGTACACTATTTCAATAGTGTCTGTGGTTTAGAGTCCACATCAGTACAAACCATTCTCAGGCGCTGCAGGAGTGGTCCATTCTGTGGCACAACCATGTGAACTGTGGACCCAGCCTTATTTCAAGCCAGAAGTTTGCCTTTTAAGGACTGGACTTTCTTTGACAGCTTTGACGCATCCAGTTCCATGAAAAAATTTTGGAATACCTCAAAGGTGTACTTAAGCTGCCTGGAATAATTGATTTTAAGTGTGTAGGGCAAGCCAAAGACGAGACAGCAAGCTCTGGCTATATCTCCAAGTCCTGTGATGACTTCAGTACCCTCAATGACAACTCCAATTTCCTTTGAGTTGTCACTTGTGGAATGTCCAGCCTTTGTGATCACTGTGATCGCTACCACAAGCTGCTCGAGTTCTTCCAAGTCCTCTGTGTCCTAAAACATGAAACTGTATCATCAGTGTCATGGATTTAAACTATCAAAAGATTGTAACACATTAAATTACAAAACTGTATCACAAAGATTTTTGATAAAGGGTTTTGATGCCACCTGTATCAACGTAAAGGTCGAAAAAAAGCAAAACCTCAAGTTCAAATATCCACCAGTGATTAATATTACAGAACTGTAAATGCCACAGCATGCACCTAACATAATTTAGTCCTCATCAACAAACCATTCAAAGCTCCTGCCACTGACATCTAAGAAGAGACCACTACTTTGGGAAAAAAATGGACAAAATTTGTAATGATTTGCATAGAGCCTCGTCTGTGAGGGAACAGGTGGAGCCATACCATGCCGGTAAAAAGCTCTCTTATCTTACAGACCTTTGCCATTGGGCTTACAGGTCTGTACTGCTTTCTTAATATGTGCTACACATACACTAAAACATGTGATGTGAGGTCTAATACTTTTGAAAAAATACTCTTTTCCACATCTCCATAGATCTGTGCCTATAGATTTTGCATCACTTGTAATGAGGCTTTATGCTGCATTGTAATAATAACCATCTCAATGAGCAAGTGTCTTGTAAATTATTGGTGTTCATACCTCCAGTAGAGTTTAGAGAATCAGAGACCCATTTGAAGCATGCACTACAGAACAGAAATTTTCAAGGCATAATCTGGATGAGCTTTTTGTGCAAATGCAAACACGCAATAGTGGATTCACAGCAGAGGCAGGATGTTAACTGATGACCATACATGATATTGTGCATTAAATGAATGCTTGATGCTTGATGTGAGCTACAACATTTTGAACACTGCAAAGCTAGTAGTAGAGCAAGAGAAAACATCCTGTGACGTCTCAAAATAAAGGGGGTTAAATTTGTGTTGAAAATTTAAATAAATAACAACACACAATTGCAGCTTTCTGCATCATGTCTTGTCTGGTCTCCCTCCTATCAGGTGCTTCCTGTCACCAAAGCCAAGCACTTTTCAGAAAGTTTGTGAACATGTCTGACATTAACAATCTCCTGTGAACTGTGGGGCAAAAAAATAAAAAATGGGTCAAAAAAGTTGTGACACAGCTGTGTCAATCTGTTGACAGCTGCATCTAATCTAGGATCATTAATATTTTGATTGGGTTAATGCAAATCAAGTTCACCTACATTGAATTCTGTGATGAGACGTTCCCCGTTTTCTCCAAGATATTCTATCAGGCACCGAAGGACAACCTCTCTGGTCCTCTCAACAGAAGAATGTGAAGATGCCTGGCAAGAAAAGTAACAAATTATAAGCCAATCATAAAAACAAAGGAAAACAAAATACACTGAAGATGTAAATGTAAACACAACACTTTCTGCACACTTTGGGTATGATTATTATGATTCTGATCATGGCGCTTTTGAATTTGGACGGTGCTTACTTAACCTGCTTCACAAAAGAGCTAAAATCCATTGAGTGAATTCTTAAGGTCATGGCTAAATCCCCCTTTCTCCCTCCCTTCATTCATGCCGTTTTCATTCCTACATATAGACTCTTATGAGTGCTATAACTCTGTTAAGACGGAGTACTGATGAAATACAAATAGTGCTTTCAATACACTTACCTTTAATACCCCTTTGATTCTTTAAAACACCCACAAATAGACTTCAACTGAATCTAAGGCATATTATCTGGATGCATATTTTTTTCTAGTTTTTGCGATCTTGAGGTGTAAAAACAATGTGCTTAGGAATCTCATAAATTAAGCTATCTTTAATTTTATAAGTATTGTACCTCCATTAGTTCCACAATGGTTTTCAGTCTTTGTCCAAGAGCTCCACCTTTGGCACAGAACAGCCTGAGTAACTTGGGAGCGTGAAGGTCCAAGGCAGCCATAAAGTGGGGCTCCAGAGGCACAGTAGTGATTCTCTGAAATTCTGCACTGATCTGAAAAGTCAACAAAAGTGAAAAGGTTTCACACCAAACCTAAACATTTCATACATTTACATACAATATTTTCTGCAGCTTTCACACAGTACTTATTTGAACTGTCATCATATTTATTAACTGTCATTACCATTTTGTCTCTTAACAGCAATTACAAGAGTAAACTCACCTGTGAACATCTAAACAGGGCAGGCCAGCGGTCCTTCATGGCTTGAACACTTGGACATTGGTTGATGACTTCATGTCGCCTGAAGGCATATGCTTGGCTCATTTTGTCATTGACCATTTTCTCATTATTCTTTTTCTTGAACTCAGTGATTAGTTCTCCTCTTGTTTTTTTCTAAGCTGTGCTCATCTTCACCAGCAGAGTAGTGAGGGAGATAGTTCACTTCTGCCCTTCTTGCCTTTTTTAACATTTTTTGCAGACTTTTGGTCCTCAGGACATTTATGCTTCAGCGCATTGCATGTAACATCTGGAATCCCAAAGCCTCTTAGCTTTGTCCTGTAGTTACTCATTTTATATTCAATGTGAGTCAGCCATCCACTGAGACCTGAAGAGCACCCTGGATCCCTCAGACATGGGTTGGCCTTGATAAGCGCTTCAGCAACAGAGAGAACTTGCAGGGATGATGGGTAGGCAGTGTATGCATAAATGGAGTGAGCTAGCTTTTCAAGTATGTCAGACCTGATGTTTGGAGTTGTCAGCAATGTGCTGTCTTTTTTGTAAAGTTCATTGGCTCTTTCAAGAACTATCTCAGTTTCAACAGAGAATTCTGGAATGCTGAATTCAGCTGGCAATGGCTTTCTCTGTTGGTTGCGGTTTGGTGATAATATGATTGTGCTTGGGGTTGATGAATCTGACGAGTCAAGGGACTCCTGTTTAGTAGAACTTGTGGAGGGTGGGTCACAGGATTGCTCTGAGGTGACACTGCCAGCATATAGCTTTCATTGGGTGGCACTAGATACAAATTAAGAACAACTGGTTCAATTGTCACAACCTTTACTGTTGCTCTGTTTTGAATTTGAGCAGTGGAGTGAAGAGAGAAAGAGTCCTCGAAATCTGGATATAAATACTGCAGGCTGAAGTCCCCAGTGATGCTTAATTGCTGTTTGATGGCTAAATTTAGCTCCTCAGTAGTCTTTGGTATTCCAGACAGAAGCGTCAGTTTCTCAATTCTGTGTCCAAAGATCACCCGGAGCACTGCTGAATCCATGTCCCGTTGCCTCGTGGGGGAAAAAAATAAAATCTTTAAGATTCTTAGGTCCAGAAAAAAAGTACGGTTAAAGACACTGCCATTGCCAGTTCTTATCTTTTTATTATTCGACACACTGATCAACTTTTTGCTGTTGAATGAGAAAACTAGCGCCGCGCTCTCCACTTTGAATGTTAGCATCCCTTCCCCCACATCAGTGATTTCTCCCGGCTTTTGCACGTTTTACATTTCAGTTACAGTAAATGCAAAGCTCTTAAACGTCCAACTGTTGATACACTGACCCAACGTTATTGTAAGATCATTTTAGTTAACGTTTATGATAGTGAGTGCATTGATGACACGTTACCTCCCAGGTAAGAAGACCGTCTGACACAAAGAGGAAGTAAAGCTGACGGAATTACAGTGAGCATGTTTGGAAAATAAGATCCTCGTCTTACACAGCTTGGTATCCCTGGATAGCCCTACAAATCCCCTGTAAATGGAAACAAAAATCCTTTAACACAAACACAATTTACTCTCCACCACAATTTACTGAGACAGCGAGTCTGTATAGCATATTTTCCTTAAGGAATATCGAAAACTTCTTTGTGAAACTACTAATCAGTAACTATCAAAATAAAGGCCTGTGGTTTTGCAAGCGTAACTACGGCAAATACTCTTGATATTTTCCTAATATCGTTGCTTTGTTGCCATCACACTATAGTTTTTCATTAACATAACGCGCATACTTCTGCCTCACTAAATAAAAAATAAATAAAAAGTTGTCAAATTACTAGAATTAAAAGAAATAAAAAGGTTCATCAAATGACGTGACCTAGCAAAGTATCATGCAGCAACTCTGTCTGTGCAAATGTAGTCTGATTCAGGGCTCTCAAGTCTCACGCATTCAGCGTGTGACACACGCATTCCCACCCGTTCACACGCCACACATTGTATTTCTCACGCATTTAAATGAACATGGTGATGTCCACCAAGTTGCACCTCTTTAAATATGGAACAGGTAGAAATCAACTGAGTTCCTCCGAGAGTTCAGAAGCTGCATGCCACATGCAAGCCAATCAAATAAAGTATATCTACTGAACAGCCAATCAAAAAGCAGCATTGCTGTAACTTGAGATTTTGATATCTTGCGGTTTGACCACAGAAGAAGACAGACACTCGCCAAAATAGAGCAGGTTTTTATAAGGACGAGATAGACCCGATGATTACAGTAAGTCAGAAACCTTCACATGCAGAGACCTCAACAGCTCATGGCAGATAAACTCATATGATAAACTAAAGCCCTATGCTATTGCTATTAACAGCTGTATTGACGGATTTAGCCTCTGTACAGCCATTTCCCCCTCCACAAAAGCAGCATTTCTCATATATTCTTTTTAAAGTCCTGATATTCATGACAGTGTAACGCTCATGTACAAAAGGATTAAGTATCTCCATGTTTGTGAAACATGAAGTACAATTCATCTAAATGCTCCACAGTGCTGATTTTAACAATTCTCCTCCACAACAGGTAACTTTACGACTTTATTCTTATATATTAATGACTTTATTCTCCTAAACAATAACTTTATTCTCGAAGATTTAAAAACATTTTTTTTCTTAATGTGGCCCTCACACTCCGTTGTATTTAAGAGATTATTATACTAATAATTATATTCAATCACTCTTCACCCGCCCCCCAAGGAAATCTCACTCTAAGCTTAGTTCAAAACTTGAGAGCCCTGCTGATTAAATGACTGAGACACAGGTACAGCCAACTCTTATTTAACAGTAAAGGTTGTGTAAAGATTCAAAGACACTGGCCTCACACTTGGAGTCTCCTCCTGCTCCCCTCTGGGTTTCTGTCACATGTTGAATGCCTCACACTCTCTCCATAATGCACTTAGTCGTCTAACATCTCTTTGCCGAGCCAAATGGGAACCTGAGGATGTTTACGTCTCCTAGCAGCTCTTATAGAGTGACGTCCGGTGTTAATTAAACACAATGCTGCTGAATCCCACCATGGCCAATTTAATCCATCCTGTCTAAAGAACAACATGTCAGATGGGAACCGTCTGTCTGAAGGAACTACATCCAGGGGGAACACAGTGGCAGACGGACCAGCTAATAATAGCAGAGTTAGACTGACAGGATGGTGGATGGAGGACCAATTTAGGCCAGGCTGATGAGAAAACATAAAGGGAAAAGCTGTGCTGCCTTGTTTCCCCCTCTTACCTTGAGATGGTAACAAATACGTGAAAAGACAAACACAGAAAGAAAAAAAAAGAGAAAAACAACGTTTTTTTCTATGAGGAAAGGTTGATGTCAGAAATATGATGACATCCTGCAAAACAGACAGTTTCATCAGCCACATGAACCCAGTGATGATCCAACACAAGGATGTAATGCTTTTACAGCTGTAGACCATGTCTTTATTCATAGCTATGAGCGAGAGAGCGAGCATGAGCGAGAGAGCGAGCGAGTCACTACTGCTAGCTAAGACCGAAGCCCTTCACGAGGCAAATCAAACAATTATCACACTCAAACTCCGTATCCAAAAACTTTCTGAGGAACTTAAATCAAAATCTACACTACTCACAACATGTATGGATGTGGCCCACCAGCAATCGCTCCACCTGTTCTCCCTCCAAGCTACCCTCCAAGACACGCTACCCTGGGAGCCTCACAGCCCAAAGACCTCATCCCGACCGCCATCCACCACAGCACCTAACCAGGACTCAACCTGGACTGAAGTCACAACTCGAACAAGGAAAACCAACAGCACCACCCCCTGGAACCCGGCCGGACCTACCTCAAGCTCCACGCCGAGCAACCCACTGCTCCGGTCCGAGATCCTCGCCGGCAGTGTGACGGATCCCCCTAACGATGCCTCCACTGTCCGGTTAGCCCTCTCCAACCGCTTCGAGGCCCTTATGGATCCTCCTAAGCCCGACAGGACCAGCCCGAACCAGTCCCTTCTCCGCGGTGACGTGGCGGTGTACTCTACAGCGGCTGCCAGAGCTCCCATGGCTCCTACACGGCCACCCGGCGGAGCCCCCGGACCTTCGTCATCATCCATCGATGTCTCCGCGGCGTGCCGGCCCGACGATCTTCGGGCGACCAGCTCCCGGGCGTCACCGGGCGCTGGTTCGAAGAACACTTCCCCCACTTCAGTCCGCTCTGAGAGCCGGACCGCGTCCTCGGCCGCCCGCAGGAGGTTTCTCCGGGAGGCAGTCCGACGGAACTCCGCCGGGCCCGCCATCGCCGCCTCGGACCGAGATGGCAGACCACCCCCGCTGCCGCAGCCGTCCACCGCACCTCTGAGTCCACCCAGCCCGGCCATCAGCTCCACTTCGGGCACAGGAGCCATGAAACCCCTGCCGCTGTTCCCACCCACCACCTTGATCGTCGGTGACAGCATCACACGAGGTATCCGTTTCTTCAACGCCACTACTCATTCTTTCCCCGGTGCAACTGTTGCCGACATCATAACAAAACTCCCCGGTCTTCTTCAGTCACTCCCTCCCTCTATCCACCGCATCATTGTCCACGTAGGCACCAACGACACAGCTCATAAACAATCTGAACTGACCAAAATGGACTTCAAATCACTTCTCCACATCCTTCAGTGCAGCGGCAAATCTGTTTTTATAAGTGGTCCGCTACCAACGCTAACACGTAGCATTGATCGTTTTAGCCGGCTCCTCAGTCTGAACTCCTGGCTTCGCTCACTCTGCAGCACCCTCTCCACCCACTTCATTGACAATTTTAATCTGTTCTGGAATCGACCCACATTTTACTCCCATGACGGACTTCACCCAAATAAACTGGGCTATTACACACTCAATGCTAATATCCAACACCATATACACACCAACTGACTAGCACTATGGACACTCTCCCTGTCACCCTCTTCCTCCCTGCCTGTCACTACCCCACCTGGAAACAGCGCCCTCCAGAGCCCCCCCTCTCAGACCCTCGCCCTCACCATCCCCACCACCGGCTCCCCCAACAGGCCCCAACTGGTACTGCACACCAATCCCATCGCCTCCACTACAGCAAGCTCTCCCTTCCGTCCCAAACTGGTACTGCACCCTCCAATCACAGAGCCTCTCTGCCATTCTGTCATCTCACCAGGATCTCACCACAGCTTTTTCATTCAAACAGTCACAACTTCTAGACCCTCCTGCTCAAATCCTATGCATGCAAAACAAAGGACAAGAAATCAAACAAACCTCCGCTGCCTTCCCCCTGCCTCACTGCCCACCCCACAGCCCCCTACCCTAAAGGTGGCCCTTCAAAACACCCGCTCCCTCAACAATAAAGGACACATCATGGCTGACTTTTTAACGGACAATAACCTGGACTTTCTCTGCTTAACCAAAACCTGGCACAATCATCTCGACCTCTTCCCACTAAACCAAGCCACACCCCCCGGTTACTCCTACCTGCACCAACCCCGCCTCACTGGACGAGGCGGTGGCGTCGCATTCATCCACAAACAGACCCTCAAGACCACCCCCATCCCCACCCCGACTGTCCACTCATTTGAACACATTTCAGTCAAACTCCCTGGCCCCACCCCACTGGTCATTGTCACCATCTACCGCCCTCCAAAACCCCACCCATCATTCCTTTCTGATTTCTCCGAACTGGTCACCCAGCTAAATACCATCTCATCCTCTGTCCTGTTACTTGGTGACTTCAATTTCCACATCGACAACCCCACCTGCAAACAAGCCTCTGATTTGCTGGACCTACTCGACACCCTCAACCTCACCCAGCATGTACACTCCCCCACCCACTCCCACGGCCACACCCTTGACCTCGTCTGCTCTACCGGCATCTCCATCCTCCATCTCTCCACCACCAACCTCTACATATCTGACCACCTGGCCGTCACTTTCAGCATTGACCCCCCCCCCCCCTCTGCTTCACAGTGAAAAAAGACTCATCTCCTTCAGAAACCTCAAATCCATCTCACCACAGGACCTCTCTGCTTCCCTATCTGCCACCCTCACTGCATCCCCTCCCCCACCTCCTGCCAAACTTGCCGACCTACTCAACTATTACAATAACACTCTATCCTCCTGCCTGGACCAGCTCGCACCCCTCAAAACAAGAACAGTTTCATTTAGACATTCCGCCCCCTGGTTTACCTCAGAATTGCACAAAATGAAATCTCACAAACGCCAACTTGAACGTCTCCATCACAAAACCGGCCTCACTGTCCACCTCCAAGCCTACACCGACCACCTCCACCTATACAGAACAGCCCTCAAGTCCGCCCGCTCATCCTATTACTCCAACCTCATCCACTCCAGCTCCAGCAACCAAAAGACTCTTTTCACCACAGCCAAAAAACTTCTCCACCCCATAGACACCATCTCCACCACCTTCACCCCGGAAAAGTGTAACTCATTCCTCTCATCTTTTCAAACCAAAATCAACACAATCTACAACTCCCTTCCCCCACCTTCCATTCCCAGCTCCTCCCCTCCTCCCTTCATCCCATCAACACTCTCCCATTTTTCACCTGTTTCTACAAACGACGTGACCAACATTATCCGCTCCATGTCATCATCCACCTGCATCCTAGATCCCATCCCATCCTCCCTCATCAAGCACTGCCTCCCCGTCATCTCTCCCATCATTACACAAATCATCAACTCCTCCCTCAACTCTGCCACTGTTCCCCCCTCACTCAAACTGGCTGCTGTCACCCCCATCCTTAAAAAACCTGGACTCAACCCCGACGATATCAATAACTTCCGGCCCATCTCCAACCTCCCTTTCCTGTCGAAAATCCTGGAACGAGTCATTGCATCACAGATCAAAGCCCACCTCAACAATAACAATCTCTATGAACTGTTTCAATCAGGATTTTGCACCCACCACAGCACCGAAACTGCCCTCATAAAAGTCACAAACGACCTTCTCTTATCTGCTGACTCCGGCCAACTCTCCATCCTCATCCTCCTCGATCTCTCCGCAGCTTTTGACACCATTGACCACGCCATCCTCCTGTCCCGCCTACACTCCCTCCTCAACATCACAGACACTGCCCTCAACTGGATCCAGTCATATCTCACAAACCGGAATCACCTCATCCACATCAACAACTGCTCCTCCAAAACTGCCCCCGTGTCCCAAGGTGTCCCCCAGGGTTCGGTGCTTGGTCCTCTCCTCTTTATCACCTACCTCCTCCCTCTCGGCCACATCCTCCGTCAACACAATCTCCATTTCCACTGCTATGCTGACGACATTCAATTATATATCTCTTCCACCTCCATCACCCCCCAGACCCAACTCTCCCTCTCAAACTGCCTCACTGATGTTAAAAACTGGATGGACACCAACCTTTTAAAGCTCAACTACAATAAAACAGATCTCATCATCATTGGCCCAAAATCCCTCACCTCCACAGTCACAGACTTTCAGCTCTCCATTAACAACTCCATCCTCTCCCCCTCCCCCCACTGTCGCAACCTTGGAATTCTCTTTGACAGCAACCTCACCTTCACACAACATGTTAAGCACATCTCCAAAACAGCCTACTACCACCTCAAAAACATTGCCCGCCTCCGCCCCTCCCTCTCCTACTCTGCAGCCGAAACCCTTATTCATGCATTCATCTCATCCCGTCTAGACTACTGCAACAGTCTCCTCCACGGCACTACCTCCACTCTCCTCAATAAACTTCAGCTCATCCAGAACTCTGCCGCCCGCCTCCTCACCCATACACGCTCCCACCAACACATCACCCCCGTCCTCCAGAACCTACACTGGCTCCCCATCCCCCATCGCATTCAGTACAAAATCCTCCTTCTCACCCACAAAGCACTCCACAACCAGGCCCCCCCCTACCTGCAAGATCTTCTCCACCCCTACATCCCCCCCCGCACCCTCCGCTCCGCCGATGCCAACCTCCTCACAGTACCCTCGACCAAGCACCGAACCTGGGGGGACAGAGCCTTCTCAGTCACTGCCCCCACCCTATGGAACTCACTCCCACTGGACCTCAGAAATTGCTCCAACCTTACCAAATTCAAAACCCAGCTCAAAACTCACCTTTTCCGCACTGCTTTTCATCTTCCTTAGCCCCCCCCCCCCTTGATTGTTGATTTTACCTGATTTTACTTGATTTTAATTGATATTGATGTATTTTATTGTATATTGATGTATTTTTATTGTATACCAATATTTGATTTTAGCTATGTACAGCGTCTTTGAGTCTTTGAAAAGCGCTTAACAAATAAAATGTATTATTATTATTATTATTATAGCTGTTTAAAAACAGATTCCTGTAAAATTGTGAGAATGCCCCCGAATCCATCAAGACATAACTTTGGGAGTTTGTAGGTTTGACGCATGAACCAAGAGCTGCAACTCCCCAGGCATAAGATGGCAGGCAGCAGCCACACCAAACTCTATTCTTCTGGTATATCTTTACTCAGCTGACACAGCCAAAAGTTGGAGAGACTCTTTTTGCTTCAACCTCTTTTCTTAGACTTAAAACTTTAACCCTAATGCTCAGGAGCAGAACATGTAGACATTTAAGGTTATCATATACATGTGAATCAGTTTTCAGCACAGACTCTCAGGCAGGAAGTGAACACACCATCAGGTCCATGTGTTCACTGAGCCAGGTTCAGTCAAACACAGGGCAGCTAAATGGCCAGAGTCATTATTTATCTAAGTTAAAGCAGCAGCTCCTCCATCTTATTTGCCAGGGAACAGACATTTGCCAGGTGGAGATGGCAGCGCCATGCGTAAAACTCCGCTGCCTCAGCTTCATAAGCGATAACCAGATAATCCATGAGTATAGATATGCTAAACAGTTTATTTATGTGTACCGGTTACAAATGATAGCGGATAACCGCAGGAACTTTACTTTTTGGAGTTCATCCGGATGACTTGTACAAAGCCAGTTTTGATCAAAGATATTAGGGATTTCAATAATGGATATTTAGTGGCTTCAAATTGGGTTAAGTTGCAGATAGCAGCATCCTACTCATCTAACATGCATCCAGCCTGAAGTTGCTATTACGGCCTGATGTTAGCTGATTCAGTTGTTATAAAGAGGTTTTTTTTATACTTTGGCAAAGTTCTTCAAGAAATAACATCTAAAAGTTTTCAGAAACTTCAAAATGTATCTGCCTTTGGGCCATTTAGGGCACTAAAATTTGTAAAACAGGCCAAAGATTGAAAACAGTAGATTCTTCCTTTACCTTTGCAGCTCATTGAATGTTATTGCATGTTGGGCGATAAGCTAAAGATTTTCATCACAAGATTAAATTCAGGGATTCATACCTTTCTACCTGTGGTTCTCATCATCCTCGGAGATGATGCTAAATGATGTGTTAAATATGCAAAAATTGCAGCGTTAGTTTAATAGTCTCTCTCTCTCTCTCTCTCTCTCTCTTGCTCTCTCTCTCTCTCTCTCCATCCATTATCTGTTCTGGTCCATGCTCTTAAGATTCATAACAGCCTGAGTGCACATACCTGTACATTTGTGTACATAAGCAAGGGGAGAAAAAGTAATGAGCATTTCACGTGTTACTCAGCACAAGTGCAGAAAAAAATTGTTTGTGTTTCATTGTGTGTTGTATGTGTGTATGTGGTGGAAAATTAGTGTGCATGCATCCTCTAAATCACATCACAGCTAATGTAGATGTTAAATTGAATCGGCTGCTGCATCATTTGTCTGCTGGATCATTACTGGTAATACGTCTGTCATATTAGTGAGGCATTCTTCATCTGGACAGAACGACCTCCCTCTGCTTGCTGGAATGGCCTAGCTTAAGTGGTTGTATTTTTTTTATTTGTGTTTTCCATCAGTGCATCCTTACAAACAAGATAAACGTCATGTTTACACTAT